CGACGCAAGTATAGTTTCCAAAATGAACTGCTTGAACGTCTTCAATCGACAAAGAACTTATTTTCTTTCCGATTTTGGAAACAACTATACCTTCATTTTGACCGATAGGCCTATCGTTATGATACCAGGTGATATTTATCGGCCAGTCGCCTTTATGTACTGTACATTGTACAGATGCTACGTCTCCCGAATTGATGGGATCTTCTCCGAATTCGAAGGGGGATATCTGAGGGGGAACTAAGAGTTGGTAATTTAAAATAATGAAAGAAACTTAAAAAATAAACGTTTTAAATTATAATGTTACCGTTAACATATAGATCTGAAGTGTAAGATGTTTGTCCAGCTTGGTTTTGAGCTACGCAAGTATAGTTTCCTATATGGTTTTCTTGTACATCTTCAATAGATAAACTGATAATCTTTTTACCGATTTTTGAGATCACGATACCTTCATTCAAGTTAATTTTGTGGCTATTGTGAAACCAAGTTATATTAATCGGCCAATCACCCTTATGTATTGCACACTGTACTGAAGTTAGGTCTCCGGAGTTTATGGGTTCTTGTCCGAAATCAAAAGGGGAGATTTGAGGTGGAACTAAGAAGAATAAAATACAAAATATATAATTAATAATACCGTTAACATTTAAATTTGAAGAATAGGAAGCTACTCCAGCCGCATTCCATGCCACACAGCTGTAAGTTCCCGAATGATTTTCCTGGACGGAATCTATGGATAACGTGCTGATTTTTTTGCCAGCATTTGATATCAGAATGCCATCTTCATAACCAATGGTTTGGTTGTCGTGATACCATGTTATATTTATGGGTAAATCGCCTTTATGTACCGAACATGTCAGTGAAGCTAAATCACCCGAATTAATTGATTCTTCACCAAAATCAAATGGTAATATTTGAGGAGAAACTGTAATAATTTATGCATTAGGCCCATGTGTGTGGAATATGAATGAGGGGAAAATAGGATAAACATCACAAAAAAACATCCAACTATTCTACTTTACCATTAACATGTAACTCTGCAGTGTAACTGGCTAGTCCAGCTTTATTTTGTGCAAGGCAAGTGTAATTTCCTGTGTGCTCTGCATTAACGCTGTCTATTGTGAGGGAACTAACTTTTTTCCCCATGTTTCCTGTCGTGATACTGTCATCATATACCACATTTTTACCATTATGTAACCAAGTTATATTTAAGGGTAAGTCGCCCTTATGTACTGCACACTGTAGTGACGCTAAGTCGCCTGAGTTTATAGACTCATCGCCAAAATTAAAAGGGTTTATCTGGGGAGGAACTAAAAAACTACTAATAGAAATCTAATAAAAGTACCGTTGACTTTTAACTCTGCGGAATATTCGGCAGATCCAGCTTTGTTCTTCGCCTCGCAAGAGTAAACACCAGAGTGTTGTTCTTGAACGGAATCTATAGTAATTGTACTGGTCTTTTTACCGGCGTTGGTTACTGTGATACCTTGGTTATATCCCAAAGTTTTATTGTTGTGAAACCATGTAATTTTAATAGGCAAATCGCCTTTGTGCACTGAACAAGACAACGAAGCATAGTCTCCGAAATTAGTGGACTCTTCGCCGAAATCAAACGGGAGTATTTGAGGGGATACTAAGAAGAAATAAAAAATAATGTTCTACAAAAATTAAGTACCGTTAACATGCAATTCCGCTGTATGTTCTGCAATGCCGGCTTTATTACTAGCCACGCAAGTATAATTTCCGGAATGATCTTCCTGTACTGAATCAATGGTTAAAGTACTCATTTTCTTTCCAGATTTGGAAATAAGCACTCCATCTAAATAACCTATGTTTTTGCCATTGTGTAACCAAGTTATATTTATAGGTAAATCGCCTTTATGCACTGAACAAGCTAATGATGCGTATTCCCCACTGTTAATGGATTCTTCGCCAAAATCGAAGGGAAGAATTTGAGGAGGAACTAAGAAGAAATAAAAAATATGTTCTACTAAGTTATGTACCGTTAACATGCAATTCCGCTGTGTGTTCTGCAAGACCAGCTTTATTCGTAACCGAACATGTGTAATTTCCAGAATGATGTTCTTGAACTGAGTCTATGGTTAACGTTCCCAGTTTTTTACCCTGTTTAGAAATTAATACTCCTTCAGTGTAACCCACTTGCTTACCATTGTGTAACCAGGTTATATTTAACGGCAAATCTCCTTTATGGACTGAACAAGATAGTGAAGCGAATTCGCCTGTATTAACAGACTCTTCGCCAAAATCAAATGGTAGGATCTGTGGAGAGACTAGCAAAAAATAATGACTTTAGAGGCCCATGTACAAAGAAATAAATGCCATTTTATGTAGATCAATTTAAGAAATGTCTGTGGTGAGGAAGGTTAGGAGGAAGGATGCAATGTCTTTATTATAGATACTGTAAACTCCTACCATTAACATTGAGAACTGCTAAATATTTTGTGACTCCAGCAGGGTTTGTAGCCAAACAAACATATACACCAGCATGATATTCTTGAACTGATTCGATGGTAAGCTGGCTTACTCTTTTATTAGTGTTTAAAACTGTTACGCCATCAAAAGTGTTTATTGGTTTATTATTTAAAGTCCATTGTATTTTTAAAGGAAAATCGCCTTTCGATATGGCACATGTGGCTATAACTAGATCCCCGGCGTTAATGGGGTCTCCGCCAAAATCAAAGGGGTGTATTTGAGGGATTACTGGAATTTAAGAAGAAATATAAAACATGCAAAAATATGTACCGTTGACTTTTAAGTGAGTCGTATGCTTGGATAATCCAGCTGCATTTTTTACTATACAACTGTACTCTCCTATATGATGCTCCTGCGCTGATTCTATTGTGAGTTGACTAACGCGCTTATTAGTATTCATGACAGTTATTCCATCAAAGTGATTTACATCGCGATTATTTAAAGACCAAGTTATATTGATAGGAAAATCACCTTTTGTGACTGTACAAGTGGCAGTTATATAATCACCAGCATTAATGGCGTCTTCGCCAAAATCAAAAGGATGAATTTGAGGGGGGACTAAAATAAAAAGAAACTACTAAAAACAAATTCAATCACTTAACCATTAACATAGAGTTCCGCCGTGTACGAAGATTCTCCTGCTGAATTCCTTGCAACGCAGGAATAATTTCCAGAGTGAACGGCGTCAACAGACTCGATACTCAACGTACTGATTCTCCTGTTTGTCTTACTCATGGTGATACCTTCAACGACATCTATCGGACGATTGTTGAGCACCCAAGTGATGGTGAGAGGAAGATCGCCTTTGGTGACCGCACACTGCGACGTTGTCATTTCGCCCGAGTTAATAGCAACGCTTCCAAAATCAAATGGTACTATTTGGGGAAGGACTGGATGGAAAAAAGAATAAGAAAAATATTCGGTTATCCAAACAAATACCGTTAACGTGTAATACTGATGAATAGGTGGTATTTCCTGCGGGATTTCTGGCTATGCACTCATATGACCCACTGTGAGGGGCCTGAACGTCATCGATCGTAAGTTGACTTACACGCTTTTTCGTTTCTACGCTAATACCTCGTACGGTTTGTATTGGTTTTCCGTTTAAAGTCCAGAATATATTAATAGGCATATCACCTTTGGTGACGCCGCAATTGATAAAGATCATATCTCCCGAATTCACCGACTCATCAAATTCAAAGGGATGGATGACGGGAGCAACTAAAAAGTTTTAAAAATGTTTTGCTAAACAGAACAAAAGCATCTAAAAAAGGTTTTTAAGATGTAGGTACCCTTAACGTGTAAAACGGAAGAAACAGAAGTATTTCCAGCGGGATTACTGGCTAGGCAAGTATATTCTCCACTGTGATAGTCTTGAACGTCGTCTATACTGAGTTGTGAGACCCTTGCTTTGGTCATCATTACATTAACACCGTCTACGTTCAAAATGGACTTTCCGTTCAGACTCCAGTGGACTTTTATGGGCAAATCGCCTTTCGTTACTGCACATGTCGTTATGATCATGTCTCCGGAATTGACTGAGTCGTCAAATTCAAACGGGTGAATTACCGGTGGAACTAGAGAAAGAATTATTTGACTCTATATTAAAGAAATGTTATTTACTGAGGGTTATTTAAAACGTGCATTATTGAATTGTGACGTACTGTTTTTTTTAAGCTGCTGTGATTGTGTTATCAAAATCATTACTTCAGGCAATACTTTAGTTATAAAATAAGTTTTATATCTTAAATGGATACTGTAATAGAAGCTTACTTCCTTATTTAAAGTTTGATTAAGAGGTGACCTGGTTAACTATATTTTCCAATTGAGCACTCGGACGGAATAATGCTTTTTGAAAGCCAATACGATTTGTTTTCATGAAGGTAAAATTCAATACTGTGAACAATTATGAAACATGAAACCCTCTGTAAAATGAACCTAAAAGAACCATTGAGGTCAATTTTTATGCTGTTTCAAGCATTTGGAGGCCCGTCAAATTGAAACAAGTAAACATACACACATGGGCCTCTTAAGTCTCAAAAAATGTGCATAGTAAAAAATGTTTCGTGATGAATTGACAGCTTTTACACCGTCATACTTTCAAAAGATGAGCAATGAAATCCCGAAACCCAAACTAGGTTAAGTGATGATTGGCCGCAAAAAGAAGCATGACTTCGCAACCCAATAAATGTCTTACCTTAAAAAATTGCGCTAAAATAAACATTGGAGTCCCAAATTACGTCATCAATCTTAGAACGACAGAAGACAAAATATAGTAACAATTGTGTATTTGGTCCATTGTAAAATAGCGAATAATTACGCGGTAAAAAGTAAACATATAAAAGGTAAGTGTGATAAAAATACAAGGCGCCCTGAAAATATAATGGATCATACCGCCCTGAAAGAGAAATATAGTGGTGTAAATACCTTTCATATGTTTACAAAACTTTAACCTTTCGAAATTAGTCTGCATTCGCTATTTTACAATGGAGGTAAATGGAAAATCAACTTACCCATAACTTGGACTTCTAGAGATCCTCTCGCGCTGTATCCTTGCGAATTTTTCGCTACGCAGACGTACGTTGCTTGATCCGAAGTCCTTTCTACGTTTTCGATCATCAGAGTTCCATTGGGGAAGACCTTCTGTTTTCCGTTGATGGGCAACAACCTGTTATCTATTTAAAATATTGCGTTATTTATTTATAATTTGTTATGCGATGTACTCACCTCTTTCCCATACCACAGTTTCCACTGGATGCCCTGCGAAGGGGCAATGCACAATCAGGGTTCCCCCCGCAACAATGGCCTGTTTCTCCATGGATCTGACGAAGGGAAGCCCATAGACGTTAATCCTTGCCGAGTGGTCGGCAGATCCAACTTTGCTCGAAGCCACGCATCGATACAAGCCCCCGTCGTTTGTATGTATAGCAGTGATGTTTAAGTGCGACACGACGTCTCCGTTAACCGTAACGTACTGTCCGATTTGGTATCTGTCGCTGTTCGATAATCTCCTACCGTATAACTCCCAAGTGATTTCGGGCGTCGGGTTACCAGATGCGATACATTTCATGTAAATCGAGTTTCCTGGCTGGACGGTTTCTTCGTTAAAAGCGTGTCTAATTTGGGGCGGTTCGAATCTGTCCCCCAAGCGTAACTCCGCGGTAGATTCGGCACTTTCCTGGTCATTTCTTATGAAACATTGGTACATGCCCTTGTTTTCTTTCTTGACGGCTTCAATTCTTAACACGGCGTCCGTATGGTCGATGCGTTTTCCATCTTTCAACCAGTTTATTGTTTTAATCGGATTTCCTAAAAATAAAACCTAATGAAACACACCGCTTAAACCATCGTACGTTATACCTTCAAATTTGCAGGTAAAGACCGCGGGCCTGCCGAAGTCGATGGTCTGCACTTGCGGTTCGATTTTAGCTTTCAAAGGTGCGGTCACGGTCAACACGGTTTCCACGCTCTCGCCTCCCACTGAGTTGTTCACGACGCATAAATATTTTCCGGAATCTTCCACTTTGGCTTCGCGAATGATCAGTGTGCCGGCCACTTGTTTCACTCTGTCGTTCAGTTGTACAGCCTGTTTCCTGCTGGTTCCTTCCACGAATTTGTACCATCTGCAACAAGAGGAACGTTGTCGATGTGTGGACGGAATCAGGAATAAAGAATATTAAGCATGTTTTATTGTCAAAACTAATTGCTTAATATTCTTGATAGTCCTCAATGTGATTTTATAGATACAGTTTACCTAAATATCGGTACAGGGTATGATTGAGCAGGACAAAGCACTACTGCCGAGTCACCTGTTTTAACGTATTTAAATTCAATGGTACGTGAATTTAGTTGAGGTCCTACTGAAGCAGTGGGTTCTGAAAAATGTATAATAAATGTCTACTACCTTAATTCATTACTTGGGAACCTTCTCCTAAAACGGCATTTCAATAAAACTAATTAAGTACCTTTTAATAGGTGTGGGAAAAGCTTGAGCATCGCATAAAATTGCGATGTCTGAGGCAGATCTGCCGATCTGTTTGCTCAGGCCGCCGCCAGATATTTTTGGCGCAGTTTGACCTGTGGGTTCTGAAAATAAATGTTGTTACGTTTATGTACCTAAATATGGGAACAGGGAACCCAACCACTTCGCAGGTGATTATAACGTCCCTCAGTGATTTCACTTCCAAAACTATACTTCCATCAATTTTTCGTCCGGATGACTTTGGAGCGATATTGTTAGTTGGTTCTATGTAATAATTAAATTGTTATAGCAAAAAGCGGTAAAGCGTGATTGAAAGTTGGGATAAGGTTGGCCAAACTTACTTGAAAATCGGGTAAGGAAATCCGACAACAGGGCAAAGTAATACGGCATCGTTGCTTTGGTAAAAGCTGGCGATTTTCCAGGGAGTTCGCTCGCCGACCAGTTTTGGTGGTAAATTATTTGTAGGTTCTGAAAAGAACCAGCAATTAGGATTCTGTATTCATTTAAAAAGTATTGGACTAAATAACAATAGAGAAAAACATCAATTAACAAAGTGGTTTTTGTCCGAAAGTGTTTGTGAGTGTTTGGTAAAGCAGACAAGCAATAAATTTAAAAAATACAGAATCCCTATGCTACTATACTTACCTTTTATTTCAGAAAATATGACTAGGATTTTTACATTCCGAAAAAAAGAGTTACACCTACCTTTTATAATAAATATGTACTTACAAATATCTAGGAACCGGGTATCCTGTGACTTGACAAGTAAGCCATGCTGTATTATTTTGAGGTATAAAGATAACTTTCCAACCCTCAAATTTTTCACCATCCCTTTTTGGTGCTACATTATTAGTGGGTTCTATAATAAAATTACGTAGTTTATAGCAACTATTCGACTTACAAATATCTTGGGACAGGGAACCCGGTAACCTGGCAAGTCAGCCAGGAAGTGCCATTTTGTGGCACGCTTAAAACTTGCCAACCCTCAAAACGGGTCAAATCTTTTTTTGGTGGAATATTATTGGTAGGTTCTGAAATTTACAATAACATAATTTTAGGAACTCACTTGAATCTTGGGACAGGAAACCCAGTGACTTGACAACTTAAAAAGGCAACGCCGCCATTATTTACGTTGACTACCCTCCAACCGCCAAATTCAGAACCCAATTTTTTGGGCGGTACGTTATTGGTGGGTTCTGTAATTGAAAGTGGCAAAATTTTTAATATTTACGTACCTAAACATTGGGACAGGGTAGGCTACGACGGGACACATAATTATAACGTCGTCTTGACTTTTGGTGATCAGAAGAGTAAAGCGGACTTTATTGTCCACCACTTTAGGTGATATGTTATTTGTGGGTTCTATAAAAAAGTGCAGTGTAAAAAATTGAAAAATTACCTGAATTTTGGCACAGGGTACCCAACGACGTCGCACGTTAGCACTGCTGGCTTATTTTCAGGCATAATATATATTTTACCGCCCTCATACTTTTGACCTGGTAACTTTGGAGCAATTTTTCCAGTGGGTTCTGGAATAATTGTAACAATAAGCTAAAGAAAATGTGTGTACCTATAGATTGGGACAGGGAACCCGACGATATCACAAGTTAGAATGGCGTCGCTATTGCCAGCAAACGATTCAATTTTCCCACCGTCGTATTTTTTGCCAGGAAGTTTGGGTGCAATGTTTCCAGTTGGTTCTACGATATAAATTTCCATGCAATATTAAACAATCCTATCTAACCTGAATGATGGGGCCGGAAACCCTTGTACAGTACAAGTCAAAGGTATAACGGAACCCAATGGTACTTCTTTCTTTAAACTACCAACGTCGTTGTCTTTAACTTTAGGTGCGACATTAGTTACAGGTTCTGAAAGTAAATTATCGAGATAAAATTTTGAAATACCTGTATATTGGAGCTGGGAACCCTTGCGCAGCACATAGAAGCGGTACTGTAGTGCCAAAATTTACCTCGTTCTTCTGACCAAGACTTGATTTATCTTTTGCTATGGGTGCCACACTGGTTTGAGGTTCTAATAATGTTTAAAATATGCATGGTAAAATGAGATATATACCTGTATATTGGTGCTGGGAACCCTTGAGCAGCGCAAAGTAGCGGAACCGTGGTACCGAATTTTACATCGCTTTTAAGGCCAGAAATCGATTTATCTTTTGCTGTTGGTGCCACACTTGTTTGCGGTTCTAATATTTAAAATTAAAAATGTTATAATAGAAAAATTGAACGGTACCTGAATTTTGGTGCGGGTAGAGCTTGCGCAGGACATAACAGAGCAAAACTCTTTCCAGATTCTCTTATGAAAGTAAAACTTTTTGAGTCGGAGGAGAAGGTGGGTGCCTTATAACCAATGGGTTCTAAATTATTAAACATGCATTAGAGAGAATGCAAAAAAAAATTTACCTGAATGATGAATTAGACAAACTTACTTAAAAATAGGTGCTGGTTGAGCCTGGGCAGGACATAACAAAGCAAAACTTTTTCCTGAATCTCTTTTAATAGTAAATGAACTTGAATCGGATGAAAAAGCGGGAGCTTTTGAGCCAACAGGTTCTATACAATAAATTTACAAATCAGCTACTGGTTATTTATTAAAACCTGAAGTGGGATAGCGTGCAAACCTACTAATAAACGATTAATTATGGACTTACTTAAATATTGGAACAGGTTGTGCTTGTGCAGGACAAAGCAGGACAAAACTTTTACCCTCGTGTCTTTCAAAAGAAAAAACTTTGGAATCGGAAGAAAAAGCCGGTGCTTTTGACCCCACAGGTTCTAAGATGACAACAATTACTTTATATTCTAATAAAACAAGATGGGGTACCCTTACTCACTTAAATAGGGGTGTAGGCTGTCCCTGAGCTGGGCAAAGTAACGCGAAGCTTTTGCCTTGTTCTCGTTCGAAGATAAAACCTTTTGAATCTGACGAAAAGGTTGGAGCCTTTGAGCCTACAGGTTCTTTAAAAGGAAAATATTTTTAATGTCTAAATAAACTAACCTGAATGTTGGTTTGGGCATAGCCTGAGCATCACAAGGTAACACAATGGCTTCGCTTGCTTTCCCAACTACAGCATCCAATTTCGATTTAGGCGGAAGCCTCGGGGGAGTAGACCCAACAGGCTCTAATGAAAAAATAACTCAAATAATTGTTTGACTGACCTAAACATTGGCAAAGGGTGACTCTGTGCTTGACAGAGCAGGCCAAAGCTCGATCCAACACCACGTGTGTAAGATATACTTGTAGCGTCGTTTGAGAATGATGGTGCTTTAAATCCAATGGGTTCTAGCAAATACAAATGCTTAGTAAGATAAAATAGTACCTGAACATTGGGACTGGTAAAGCTTGTGCCGGGCAAAGCAAAGAAAAACCTTCTTCTTGGTGGACATCGAAGGAAGATATTTTCGATGCAGAAGAGAATGAAGGGGCTTTGTAACCAACGGGCTCTACAAAGAAATGTAGGAATAAATACATGTGCAAATAGTTACCTAAACATTGGGACGGGCAAGGCCTGAGCGGGACAGAGTAAGGAGAAACCTTCTCCACGATGTATCTCGAATGTAAAACTCTTGGACGCAGACGAGAACGTTGGTGCTTTATAGCCTACAGGTTCTACGAAAGAAAATACGAATCGATATCGCAACTAACCTTAAATTACCTGAATGTCGGAAAAGGCAGCGCCTGAGCGGGACACAGCATGGCAAAACTGGAGCCCGATTCCCTCTGGTAGCCCAACATTTTTAAATCGTTGGAAAATGTGGGCGCTTTAGACCCAACAGGTTCTAACAAAAAACATGCTTAGTAACTTCGTTTTTAAATTAACCTGAATGAAGGAACGGGGAAACCTTGGGCTTGACAAAACAGCGGTATTTCCGTGGTAGCTTCTCTTTCAACATATTTGAATTTAGAATCGGTCGGAACTTTTGGTGCGCGGCTTCCAACGGGTTCTAATGTAAGAAATTGAGTTTTAGTGAAAATCGTACCTGAATGTTGGGCTGGGAAACCCTTGAGCTTGACACAATAAAGAAAAACCATGGCCGGAATGTTTTTCTATGGTTATACTTCTTACATCTGATACAAGACCAGGAGCACGGGAACCAATGGGTTCTAATGAAAAAATAAAAATGTAGCATTCGTGTGGCGAATGTTATATACCTGTATGTGGGGATGATAACTTTGCCTCTTAAAACAATTACTAACCTAAAATACGGAACGGGAAAACCTTGAGCTGGACAGATAAGAGAGATGGTGGATCCCGATTTATAATCAATGACATCATACTTAGATTTGGACGACACCTTTGGTAAGGTACTACTTATGGGTTCTAAAATGAAAGAAACACCTTTTTATCTACCTTTTTGTCGGGACAGGGTACGCTTGAGCTGGACATAAAACGGTAACGCTCAAACCATTCAACGTTTCAAAGGTGCGACTTTTATCGAGGGTTGGAAAGTTCGGCTTAACGGTACCAACGGGTTCTAAAATACAAAATCGAATTGTATTTACCTATTATACTAAGTACCTGAAGTTGGGAACTGGGAATGCCTGTGCGGGACACAGCAATGTTGTGCTGGAATTCTGCCGACTTTCAAGGGTTTGGATTTTAGATATACCCGCGGTAAGGCGTGGACCCACGCTTGCAACCGGTTCTACGAAGGTAATACATACATTGTTTTAATAACTCACCTAGTATTTGGTACCGGGTACCCTTGCATTGGGCAAAGCATTGTAGCTGATTGCAGACTTGGCACCTGAACAACTTTTATATCGCTTGACGTAAGCTTTGGCGACACGGTACTTATAGGTTCTGGTGGAGAAAAAACGAGATTGCAATAAAATAAATAAGTACCTAAAGTTTGGAACTGGGTAAGCTTGCATGGGACAAAGCATCGTAACGGTTGAAGTGTGCTTTACATGAGAAGTACGAATTTCATATCCAGACGTCAGCTTGGGGCTTACGGTACCAATGGGTTCTAAGAAGAAATACGACTTTATTGATTGAAAAAAATATTTACCTAAATAGTGGGACGGGATAAGCCTGCATAGGGCACATCATGGTAACGGTGAGATTTAGAGCGGTTTGCGAAGTTCTAGTTTCGTCCCCGGATGTTAATTTCGGTATGACGGTACCAATGGGTTCTAAACGTGAAAAAATAATGAGATGATGATATTACCTGAAAGATGGAGCTGGGTACGCTTGTGCGGGACATACTAGAGCAATATTTTGACCATGTTTGTAATCGTCTAGAGGCGGAAATTTCGGTATATTGGGTTTAACACTTCCGACCGGTTCTGGAAGGTTTAACGTATTGTTAAGTATCATTACGAAGGATTGGGAGTGACTAACCATGCTTATCAAACCGACTGTTACTAACCTATATAAAGGTACTGGGAAGGCTTGAGCTGGGCACAGTAAGGTTATGCTGCTGCCCAGAGATCCTTTGAAGGACTGCGAGTTTACCATTGTAGGAAATTTAGGCAGAACTGCAGCGACGGGTTCTGAATACAATACAAACGAGTTACGAACCTATTGATGATTGGACCGGGTACCGCAAATAAAAAAAATAATACCTGGATAGAGGTACTGGAAATCCTTGTGCGGGGCATAGCAAATTTAACGAGTCGTTTTGTTTATAGAGGTACTCCTTTCTGGTCTCTAGAGGAAATTTCGGTACCACGCTTGCGACTGGTTCTAAAAATAAAGCGAAAGAGATCCGCTTTGGTTTTCAAAATGCAGAGCTGATATTTTTAATTAAAAAAATAGCTGTGGACTTACCTTGGCGACCTGAAACCCTTCAATGACCAAAATCATTAAGAAGGGCGAGGGTACCCAAACACCTGACAGCAATAAGGCAATACTAACCTTCTCAGTAGCCAATAGAAACAGTTGGAATATTGGGAGGATATTACGGAGTGAAAGGACAGGTACTATTTTTTTTGATTCAGTCAAATCGTTTTTAAAAAATTTTGAAAGTGCCCGTTTGAGAAGCAAGGGTACCCTATCCCAACATTCAGGTAAATTTATATGAACGATGATGAAATATAGCGCGTATGTTTCATCATGGTTAAAAACTTAAGTCTAAGTGATTCGAAAGCATTCCAAAATCGTAACGTTTTGGGATACTTGAAATCAACTGGTGTCTGACAATGATCCTCTTATATTAGCGATTGAAGGTAAATGCATGGCCCGGACAGGAAGAATCGCATGTCAGACACGTGGATTAGTGCTGGGCCTTTTTAACTTGCCGCTGTCACGCTTTTACCGGATTAATAACTATGGTCGCACCCTATTTTATATGCATATACATGAAAAATTGAGGAACAAGAGGAGTGGTCATAGACATAGGACAATGTATTTTTATTACATTTATAACCACCATTATTAACTGTGCAAAACAAAATAAATTTGTTCAGTTAATAAAGGTTTCAATGCAAACACACGGCGATTCAAATATTTGTTTAGGGGCCATTTGTCAAACTAGTGAATTTGTTGACCTTCCTCGAATTCTCCAATTCGAAAAACTTTTGTTTGTTCCATTTGAAGTTTTGTCGGACAGCGGAAATTAAAAAAGTGCAGTTCGATAGCCAGAGTTTCCCAGGTCAAAAAATTGTGCTAATTGGCGCTCGAAACTAACGACTTCAATTAGGCATCCAATTTAAGTGAGATAGGTCAGTTATTTTAACAATCTAAATGAGAACGACATATTTACTTTGAAATAGCGTGGAAAATGTTGGAATCAAACTAAATTAACAGGTTTTAATTTTAATCGAATAGTACACTTTTAAAAACGATTAACCGCGTTGGTCAAGGTCAGTTTACTACACGGTTTAAATGATATAAAGGCAAATTGTTATTTGTAACCAGCGGGTTTTAATTTATTAATTGGATATTTCTCATTCAAGCTGCTGTGTACTACATATCATTATAATCTTACAACCATTTATAAATCAAACTAAAAGGGCCAGAGGTCATAAATCTAACCTCATACATATTTTTATGAACCCATACTTAAATAATTAATTGATATTAAATAAGCCAAGGAAAAACTTCCTAGTCCAGGCAATTTTATACACCTTCGGGTATTACAGGATTTTTTTTAATACTAGGGAATGTTTCTTAAATATTGTCTTTGCTATTTATTTTTGAAACATCAGGAGTAACTTTTTCCAAATTTAAAATTAGATAGC